TTTTTTTTCTTTCCACAAAAAGATTCACCATTTGGAATTTCCCTGCATCTCTGGAAGGAGGCAGGGAAGTCTGAGTAATTCTGATTCATTTGGGGGGTGAGAACTGAAGCTAAATTTGTTTTGTTTTACTTGTCTCTCAAAGCAAAATCACTATATAACTAAGTGAAAATTACACAGCAGTTTTTAACCTATAGTCTGGAAACTCTTCCCCAGGTGGTATATAGTTCTCATCAAAAGGAAATCCCTAAGACGTTTCATGTCCTTTTACTAAATAAGCATGAATCATCCTCAACAGAATGATCCATCAATAGGAAGGCATTAGCATTTCTGCAGGTTCACATGGCCAGCCTCCTGTGGGCACATAAGAGGGTAGCAGAGGCAGCACAGTGCAAAAGGAAGGACAGGCCCTAAACGGACAGTCTTGAAAAGGCAGTGCAGCCAATGCAGAGGGAGGACTGAAGCCATGAAAACCATCATTGAGAAGTCACTTCACAAGTGTGGTCAATATAATACTAAGAGGACAGCTGAGGCAACATCTAATATTTTATCTATTGTCTTAGCATAGAGTTTGACACAAAAACCCACAAGTTGAATCAGAACACAATCATTAAGTCAAATTTATTTCACTCCCTTTTTAAAGGTAACTCCTAAATGGGGCACACATAAACCACTGGGACAATTCCTTCCTGTTTCATGGCATCTATAGTTCAGGTAACTAGGGAGGGACTCTGCTTTTCTCCTCCTGGCTCAAAGAGGCAATTTTTGATTGTAGAAACATGCCAGGTGGTTACTGTTCTTGGTTTTTTTGTTTGTTTGTTTTTATCATTTAAATGCCCGAATGCTGTTTTTCACTGACCAAGGCTCACTTTCTGTGTGAACAGCTTTATTACCACCCTCAACATGGGGAAAGGCTAGCTATAGCTGGTGACTAGCAGCAGTATTAAGCAGATGCTTCCTAAGAATATTCTTTAAATAGCTAGGGGTGGAGAGAATGGTAAGGAAAAACAACATCCTAATTTGGCAGTTTGGCTCATGCTAACAACTACCCCCACTAGAATACCAACTTAATGCCCAGCTAACTGGGGGCGGGGCACACAGGCAAGCAGCAAGGTTATCTTTTTTTTTAGCAGAAAAAATAAAAACCACCCCGACCAGCTTCTCAGAATTCACAACCTACAGTAAGTTCTTTGACCAACAGGATGACGTTAGCATTTCTGCAGGTTCACGTGGCCAGGCTCCTGTGGCCACATAAGATGGTAGCAGAGGCAGCATAGTGCAGAAGGAAGGGCAGTGCTCAGGAGGCTGGTTTCCACATGAAGATGTATTTTTTTTTTAAATGATCTTTCAGCCTAATAAATGACTTTCTAACAATTTAATTTGGAAGGAAGGCTGGGCAATCTACTTCCTTAGTGATACTGCCTCGGAAACCCAAGGAGGGGTCGATTGAGTTGGGTCTGACTCTATGGCACATAACAACAACAATTTAATGAAAACATTACTACCCTTCCTGGAGTAACTTTCTTGGTTTGTTTTACATTTTAATTAAAAAGAAACACGTATTTAAAAGATGCCCTCATTGATCTTATATATACACCTCTTAGGCTGATTAGGGTTAAGATATACCAACATTTTCACTCACCATCTGACTTTTTTTTTTAATCTACGCACACTCTGTCTCCTCCCTTTTACCACTATCTGACACAAGGGAGACTGACAGTAAAAAGAACAGACCTGAGTCAGAATCCTCACTTGGCCATTTACTGGCTATGTAGCCTTGGGTAAGTGACTGATTCCGTTTCCTCACCTGTAAAATAGGAATGGTATCACCTACCTTTTGGGTTGTAAGGATTAGAGATATTATGTAAAGTTCCTTGCACAGTACCAAGGGCTCAAAGTCACTATCATCACCACTATCAACCTCATGAAAAAAATATCTAAAATCCAAAATAGTTAAAAGAATATATACACATAAATATCCAAAAATTATTTAAACAAAAAAAAGACACAGAAGTCAATTTTATAAGATTCTGAAAACCCTATCATCTACTTTATTTCTGGAGAAGGGTATAGGATGAATCACTTAGATTTGAGGGGCAGCTAAATTGGAAGCAGCAGTAGGAACAATTTTAGACTTCTATGGTTCCCCTGATCCTTAAGGGAATGCTGAAACTTCCTTGTTTGGAAAGTCAAGACTTTTTCCCTAGAACAAGACCATCCATTTTCAATAGGATAAAATAAAGAAAAACAAACTCAATAGCACCAAATGGGGTTTTAACACAGAAAACAGAGCCAGGTTTCTCCTTTCAAATGCAAATGTTTACATGAAAATATGTTTATAAATCATAGTTGGTTTCCTCTTCATTCAACCCCTCTCCCTCCCCTAACAGAAGCCCCTGGAACCCGAAGATCATGTACATTCCTAACCAGATGCACAACCCAGCTGCCAAACCAGGATGTGATTACGAATGGACTGGCCTAGATCAGGACAGTCACCAGGGATGGCAAATAATAACTACACTCTCAGGGAGAACGGATACTGAGGGTGCCACCAATCAAAGAGCTGAATGCTGTGCACTGGGTCAAGGATGACTTGCACACCCTGTTCGCTGCGTAGTTTCCGACCACTGTGGACAGGAGAATCCTGGAACACCAGTCTCACTCGATGGTGCCACATGTCTGTGCTCACATTGATAGTAAACAAGGTAAATATCATTCCCATGACAATTGGAATAAAGATGAAATTGAGGGTGGTGACTTGCAGTAGGCAGCAGTCCTGGTCTGGATTGGTATGAACATCTTCATATTGAATGGGTGGCTGCAAGCCTCCCAAACACTTGCTCTTTAACCTAGGGGGCTGTTTTTTGAACTTGAAGTTGAATTCCCACATGGGTTCCTGTCTATTCCCAACAATCTTTCTGCACCAGAAAAGTAAACATTTGGAATTCTTTAGTGTGCTGAGAGTACTTTCTGGAATGGCTGGATTCTTGGAAATTCGAGCAGCAAATGGCTCATACATATGATACAGAGATCGGATCACACACGCCCGGAGACAGCGCAGCTTCTCCATTGACTCTGGTCGCAGGCGCAAAGGCAGAAAGTCATCCAGCGTGTAGTGCCTTAGGTACAACCTTGTCCGAAAGGCTGCAGTGCAAGTGACAGTCCAGGCATTCTTACAAATCAGGGAAAAATTCACAATGTCCTCAGGACGGATGTAGGAGGCCAGCAAGAGCCAAATATCCATAGGATACTCTTCTCCTCCAGCCCTGTCCAGGTCTTCTTTGTGCCTCTTGCTTTTCTTTTTTCTGGAGATGGTTCTCTCATAAATGCTCTCCTCTTGGGCATCCACCTCATCACTGCTGTCAATGATGTCACAGGGCTCACCAGTCCCAGAAAGAGCTTCCTCTGCAGGAAGCTGGGAGGCTTCCAAGCCACAAAGAGATTTTACTTCCTGCTGAACAGCATTGGCGACGGCTTTCTTGACCCGTCCAGACTTCACGAGATGGCCGGATCGGAGTTGGCATAATCCGCCACGGTCACTCTACCGGAGCAGGCGTCGTGGGCCCGGAACTTGAGACGCTTCCCTCTTTTGGGCATGGCTACCGTATTGGAGCGAGGCCGACCTAGCGGGCCAGGACCCCGGACCATGTCTCAGGCCTGAGAGCCTGCGCCAGGAGCAGCGCACCAGCTCCGCTCCGCTCCGCGGCCATCCCGCACCGGAGACAGCTGCCAAAATAGCTCATTTTTATAAACCTATGCGGTTGTTGTTACTGTTATGTGCTGTTGAGTCGGACCTGACTCATAGCGAGCCCTCCTTGGGTTTCTGAGGAGGTATCGCTACGGAAGTAGATTCTCCACCTTCCTTCCCAGGAGTGGCTGGTGGGTTTGAACCACCAGCCTTCTGGTTAGTAGTGAAGTGCTTCAGGCATTACGCTACCACAGCTCCCGATAAGTAATTAAAAAAAAAAAAAAAATCCGTCCTTATTTCAATCCCAATTCTGGCCTCAGCAGAGGCAAAGTTAGGTCTTCAAAATCTATAATATTTGAAGTCTGAGAGTCTGCCTTCAATTCTCTTCAGGCAGCAAGACAAGGAGGGAGGTCAGAGCTCAGAATCTTCCAGATAACAAGGGTGGCATGGGAAAAATAGGAGAAAAGACATGAATTCATTATAGAATAACAGCCAGAGCAGACACTTACCAAGTGAATTGGGGAGTAAATTTCTTAGAAAGCCTTAAGAATGTGCAGTAAAAAGAGCAGTTAATCTGAAATACAAAATTTAAAGGCATGGCAGATGCATGTCTCTCATCTTCCAGATAAGATTCCTTCTGGAATTCAAAAGCATCTAAGAGAACAAGACAATTGGTTGCTGGACTCAGTATGTAAACATGGTGCAGGTTGACACTGTGAAGATGTTTATTACAAAAGTTAATGCAATGTCAGGGCGGAAGATCAATGTTTAACCCTATTTCATTGCAATCTGTAGGCTTGCTTGGAATACAGAATGGAAAATTAGAAAACCAGAGAAAGGAAAAAAAAAAATGTAAAGGACTTTTTCATAATCAAACTGGCAGATCATGGACACTGATATTTGTGATGATAAAAAGACAAGGGTTACTTGCATGTTGAAGTACATCTCATATTCTATAACCACTTTTTAAAAATATGAGTTATGCAATGAAATTTTATTCACCTCATTATCCAGGTATAGTCACCAAATTTTAGATATTAACTCTGTTCAATGTTCTTATTTTCCAGACTCAAAGCCTAAGAAAGAGATGTAACGTGATATTCCAGAAGTTATTCAGTCATGGAGAAGAATGGTCTGTCAAACACAACTACTCCCATTTCACAGGTAAGGCAAGAGGTACAAGAAAGGAGTAGGAAACCAGTTGCCTCAGCCAAGAATCAAGTCTTACATTACTACCTGAGAGTCTTTGCTTGGTGCATTAGGCATTCTTACTGTAAAAAAATGATTTTAGAATTCTTCAATGTACAGCATTCTGAAAGTTTTAGTTAACTAATCACCATCATAGTGTAGGAAAAAAAAAAAAAAAAGATGATCATTCCCCATGGTACAGAAACAAAAATATGTACTTGATTGCTGGACTGAGAGATGAGTTAAACAACTTTTGGATGTCCCCACAGACCTCTAGCTTTCTGTTTAATTTGTTAATTTGTGTGTTAATGGGGTTATTGCAATTTGTTTTTCCATGATGATTATTAAAGATAGTATTTCAGTCTGTATTTAAGAAATTCTCACTAAAAAAGGAAACTAACAAATGATTTTTCTCATTGTATTATGCTTCAGAAAGAAAAGCACTCAGAAAAATGCTGTGTATTTCCTGTGAGTGAGGAAGCCTGCTAATGACCCTGGAGAGACAAAGTGCAGCCTTGGTTTTTGCACAACAGCAAAGCAATGACCTCACAAAGGTTCTTGCTGCAGTTTTGTGCCTGTAGAGCCACTCCTGTCAGGGCCATGATTAGTACAACCCCCTAATGCAGCTGTCCATTGACAGTGACCAATTTAAAACCAAAGAGTCAGCCCATTAATTACACTGTCAGCAATAAATGTAACAATGAGCTGTGGTGCAAATCAGTCCCGTGATACATCCAGGAAGCCATCTGTATGTCTTCCGTATCCATTTGGCACTTGTTGCTGGAGAACTGGTTTGGACAAGTGACTTAACAGTCAGGCAGCAGAGAGGAACCATCTCTCCTCCTCTGCCAGGCTGTCTTCATTAAGTTTCACTCCTCTAAACTAAAAACTAAAACTCACTGCTGTCGAGTCAGATCCAATTCATAGTGACCCTTCCTTGGGTTTCATAGGTGGTATCATTACAGAAGTAGATTGCCCAGTCTTCCTTCCAAGGAGTGGCTGGTAGGTTTGAACAGCCAGCCACTTCTCTAGGAGGAATCAAATTTGGTTGAAGACTCAGCAAAAGCCATAGCGCTAGTGATAAATAAGCACATCATTCATTCAGTCTTGAATTTATTAATTCACTAACATTTATTGAGAGACTTCTCTTTACCAAGCATATACCACTGAAGTAAGTATGGGAGGAGGACTGTGTTCATCTATATAATGGAAATGAATATATGTTAATATAGCAACACTAGAAATTTTTGGTGTATTTCCATTGCCAATGTGCTCAATAGTTCTCCCCTGGATAAATTCATTATTATAATCCTTGTGGACAATTAAAATTACTGAGTTGCCTGATCTCTCCTTTTTTTTTTTCCTTAGAATTGTTTTTGACACTCCTTTGAATATTTTGACTCAGTTTCAAAGGTTTTTTTTAAAAAAAAAAAAAAAAAGGAGAAGAAGAAGAAGGAAGAAAAGAAGAAGAAATAGAAAGACAGCAAAGGGAAATCTTACCTAATCCTTCTCTACTTAAATTAAGAACAAAGAAGACTGTCATGTTATATTATTGATTACCTTCTGATTTATTATTCCTTAAGCTAAAGATGGTGAATTACTGCTTGGATAACCTTATCTTAATTTGAACTAGATTTCATCAAAATTCCAGAGTCATATCACTAAATTCTTTCTCTTCTAATGTCAGAGAATATTTTAGAATCTGCTGAGCTTTTTGCTGTTCATGTACAAAGGGGAACATTTAGAGTTTAAGATTAAAATAGCTGAAGAGCTGTGAATAAGCATGTTCAATTAATCAAGGATTCAAAAGGTGATTTCATGCCCTCATATCCCAAATCAATCACTAATAGAAACTACTAATGCTTCTTTTATTTCTTCTTCCCTTTGTATTTATTGCCCCTTTTATTATTCTAACGGTCTAATTTTCATTTTCTTTTTTCTCATTATTATTAATCACCTTTAGACTTTTCACCTGCAATTCTGATCCAGGAACATAAAGTACACATGATGTTGATAGGTCCCATCAAGTCAGTTTTGATTCATAGTGAACTTACATACAATGGAACTAAGCACTGCTTGACCCTGGACCACCCTTATATTCATTGCCATGCTTGAGCCCATTGTTTTAGTGAGAGTCTTCCCCTTTTTTGCTGACCCTCTATTTTATCAAGCAAAATATCTTTTTCCTGGGACTGGTACCTTCTGAAAAGATGATCAAAGTACCCAGGATAAAGTCTGGCCATTCTCTCTCCCAAGCAGCATTTGGCTGTACTTCCTTCTTCCGGCCATCTGTGGTACATTTGATGTTCTTTGCCAACACCACAATTCAAGTGGATCAATTCTTCACTGTTGTTGTAATCTTGATGCTGTGTTCTCTATATAGTCTAGCTTCTTGGATTATTTGAATGAATGATATTTAAAGTTTGTTGTCTTATTTTAAAAAGAAGAAAAAAGCAATGAAGTAAATGGTTTATGTTTTCCCCTTGCTAGAGCCTTTTTTTTATTTTTTTATTTTTTTGTGACTCAGTGTCCTTCTCTGAAATCAACATGAAGGAAAAGTAGAAGAGGGAGAAGAACAATTGGGAATTTTAGTAAATCTATGGTTAAGAACTATGGTGAAGAATGTATATTGTATACCCCCAAAATACGTATTGAATTGCTGGCTCCTGGCCCTGTGACTTTAACCCTGTTTGGAAATTATTTTTGTTGTGTTAGTGACATCATATCAAGTTTGGGTGGGTCCTAAACCTAATCACTTCTGCATTACAAAAAGGGCAAAATAGACACAGAGACACAAAGATGGGGAAGAAGACAAATAACTGAGGCAGATGCATCTATAACCCCAGGAAGTCAAGAATTACTGGTAGCTACTAGAAGCTGAAATATGCAAGGAAGGGCCTAACCATAGGACCATACCCTGAATGCTGAGTTCTGTCCTCCTGAACCAAGCAGAAAATGAATTTCTCTTATTTAATATAACTCACTTATGTTATTATTTTTTGTTGTTGTTACAGTAACACTAGGTAACTGAGATAGCCACCTTACTCCTTCTGCTCCATTTTGCCTTAATAGATTTTACAATAAGTTGGTATATATAATAAGTAACCTATTACTCCAATGAGACAAAGAGTGTTCTCACTGACATTTGATTTTTGAAAATGTAGACTTGGATGAGAAATTAGTGTTGATGATGTTGTAGTAACTGTCTTACTCTTTCAACATTCTCTTTTGAAAAGAAACAAAATGAAATTTTCCTTCCTCCTTCCCTTTTTATTTTCTTTCCTTCCATTCTATTTCTCTCTCTCCCTCCTCTCCTCCTTCTTTCTCTCTCTCCTTCCTTTCCTCCTTCTTTCTCTCTCTCCCTCCCTTTTTCTGTCACTTTTCCCCCTTTTTAAAAAAAAATACAGATCTCTAAATGAACAATGCCAAATTCACGGTCATTGAGTCATTTCTAACTCATAGACAGAAGCACACTGCTTCATCTTTCTTTTGTGGAGTGGCTGGAGGGTTCAAACCACCACTTTTGGTTAGCAGCCAAATGCCTTAACCACTGCACCACCAGAGTTCCTTTTATACCAAGACTACTCTGTGCTGGTGTTGAACACAATCGATACACTCAAAGAAATTATAGTAGAGTTGGGAAGATTGAGAAATAAAAAAGCAATTCAATTGCTTGTTTAAGTGTATTCAATTTAGACTTTTACAAAAGGATATAAGGGAGATGACTAATCTACCCTTCAGAAATCTGAGAAAGTTTCTCCAGGGGAAGTAT